AAAATTTTAAATAAAACGGACTTCTGCTTAGCGGGAGGGATCAATGCTCACCTGGTTTTTACCTCATGCTTAATCACAGTACCAACCCCTTTAAAAATTTTACAAAATTATACTATGCTAAAAAATATAAAAAAAAAAAATACATATCAGGATATATATATAGTGGGGGACTATTATAAAAAAAAAAAATAGAGACATGTTTTCCATACGGGTTCAGGCAACAGCTAATACTTCTAAATGTTTCCTAATAGTTAATTATACTAATAATTGCTTCAAATTAAACCAAGATAAAAAAATCCTTTATAACAAAACCAATCAAATATCCTATATATACACACATACCATCCTTCCTCGAGGATGGTTTCTAGCCTACAAAAAAATAATATATTCATACCTTCCAGCAAATGCTACTGGGGGACCATACACCATTGCCCGGGTAACTACAGCTCTTCCAAAAAAATCTAACCTAATACACACTAAACAAACCCCTCTTGGTGGGAGGTTTAAACAAACATACACTCCTCTCACGGCTAATTGTGATAAAAATAATTCCCCCGGATTATTATCTAAAACAAAATACATAACATTAGCTACATCTATGGTGGGGGTTCCAGGTCTTGCTATAAATAATAGCAAAAATCTTAATACAGTGGCCTGTGTTTTAACAAAAAGACTAAATGCTACATCCCGAGCACTCTCAGCCCTAAATGCTAAACAAAAACAATTAAAAGACTCTGTCTTAAAAAATAAAGCCGCTATTGATTATCTCTTGTTACAACACAATCTCGGATATAAAACTTTAAAAAAAATGTGCTGTTTCAACCTCACTGATAATTCTATACTAATTAAAGATAAAATTGGTGCCTTACAACGATTAACACAGACATTAAAAAAATCATCTGGCTTAGACTTGTCCTAATTAACTTCCTGGCTTCCCAATTTTGGATGGTTAAAACAGTTATTTAATATGGTTGTTTTATTTTGTGTTATAAAGATTATCGCCTGTTGCTATATACAATGTTCACCTGTCTTCTTATCTATCTTCAGACCTAAGGTGAATCAAATGATATTACAAACAAAAAAAGCTAAAAATACTAGGTTTGTGTTAAAACAAATTAAATAAAACAATTATAATAAAAATAATTTAAAATGCTCCAAAAAAAAAAAAGTCAGGTTTAACCTAAAAACCACTACACAAAGCCCAAACAAAAGTCTCTGTTATATAACTAATGCCCATCTACAATGATAAAAAAAAAACAGTCTTAAATAAAAAAGGCTTAAAAACAAAAACAAAATCAATAAACTAGGGCAAAGAGCTGATTTAAATATTAAGATTCACACCCCAAAATTAAAAAAAATATGCTAATAAAACATACATATATAAAAATAAAATACATAGCTAAAACACAGATATAAAAACATGCTCAATAAAAAACTCCTTGCGTCACTCCCTTATAACCAATTAACAAACAAAAATGCTTATAAAGGTCCAATACTCCTATATAAAAGATGCTTAAAATTAAAAATCTGTGTGCTTGTTACATAAAATTATTCCGCTTACACCTTGTATTGCTAGCAATAAATCTTTATACTTTCACCCCTGGTATCTTTATTGGCTTTTGCATACCGGGCACAATCCCAGACTTGAGCTGGGGCTCAACAGGAGGATTTGGAAACTAAGGGCCGTCACAAGCCAAAGTGGGGTCTAATTAAATGGAAAAAGGGAAAGATGATGAATGTGCTGTTCCGTACTGTAGCAGGTCTACTAAGGGAATATGCAAATTTGGAGGCTGATGCATACGGCGGGTAAAAAGTCACTGGAGCGGATAGCAAAGGGCTCCGGAGCAGCGTCTATTAACAGTGCCAGCCGCATGATGCGGCTAGCAGAAAATGGCGCTGAGAAAAGCACGAGCCATCCGGGGAACCCGGAAAAGAGTTTCAGAGTTTCAGAAGACCCGGCGGGGATCCGCCTAGTGACTCCGCCCTGAGCTGACGTCGTTCCCAACGGCCACGCCTCCTTGCCACGGGGAGGGGGCAATGGGAGGAGGGATGTACCCAACGCTCCCAGATGAAGAATTTAACCCTCTCTCTGCCGCAGCTCACCCAATAGCTGTGATGAAGCATGTTGCGGATGAAGAAGGTACTACACGTACCACTGTCATCTCCCGCACGCGCACTCGACCAGAAATACAAGAACTTTGCAAGGAATCTAAAATAAGGCCGGAAGAAACCTTGGCCATGTGGTTAGGAAGATTAATAGTGGAATTTGGATCTGACAC